GGAGAGCGTAACTTAAACCCAACATCATGCACATTTATTCAGTTTAGCTACTAGAACTAGTGTTTTCAGACTTGCATTTGTTCTTATAAATTCTCTTAAAGCTGTGATCTTCCTGTTATTTCAGACACATTGTACCAGTTAGTTCACATGGCCAACATTGCACAGGGGAATTGGAGGGGGGGGGGGGTCATCACCCAGAGCTTGTGGGGTTGTACATGATTGTGTAAGACCTACATTTTCAAGTGTCAATGTATGGATCAGACTAGGGTTGAAGTACTTGATCCTGAACCTGGTACTGCAGGCTGGTACTGGTACTGCAGGCTCGGCCGGTGTCTGTCTCTTTCCCTCTGCAGCCGGATCACCTGGGGGAAGTTTGCCAACTGTGGTCAGACCTGCATCGCTCCCGACTACATCCTGTGTGACCCCAGCATACAGGACCGAGTGGTGGAGGAGATTGGGCGAACAGTGCAGGTATGTCTCTCTGTCTGCCCCACGGCTACTTAGGACGAGGGGATCCAGTTTTTTGGATCGCTTCCTCCTGCTTTGTGAAGTTCCTGCTTCGTTTTGGTTCTTTAAATCTTTGTGAAAAAGTTGTGTCCTGTTGCCTGTTCGCTCTGTCAAGTTACCTCTTCCAGCTGCTGTCTAGCATCTGTGAAGTCAAGTCATGAATACCAGAAACACAGGTGCCATCGTCACGTTCAGAAAGCAAAAGGAGTGAAACCAACCTGCTGTGATTTATTACTTACAGGAATTCTACGGCAACGACCCCAAGAAATCGCCGGACTACGGACGCATTGTCAACAAGCGCCATTTCAAAAGGGTCATGTCTCTGCTGGAGGGCTGCACCATAGCCCTTGGGGGAGAGCATGATGAGTCACAGTGCTACATTGGTAAGAAGACAGCTGTCTGAGATCATGCACAGCACAAAATAAAGGTTATTATAGGGGTCCTTTTAGGACGTATTCTGACTGGCAAATCAAGAAGATGGCTCTTTGCTATGACTAGATTCTTTATTGTTGCAATTGAATTCTTTAATGTGTTGTCTTCTCAAGAACAGTTCCGTAAGTATCAAGAAAAATGTGAATTGTTTATCCCACAACAAATAGTGGAGTGAATTTCATTGTGTCTGCGGGCACACAGGGGTGTCCTCACGTTGGACAGCACATCCTAAATTTCCATTTCCAGCATGTTATGGGCTGTGTTTGATGCTTAAATGTGCAAACATGACTATGTCGCAATTAAACGCTAAAAGAATACCTGTGTGCTGCTGGTTATAATTTACAGATTATACTAAAGCATTGCAAGGCTCTATCTTAAACACATACGTAATTCTTAAAATTTTACAATAAGTGCTGCATTTTTTTTTAATTCTGGAAAATAGCTGCTGTGTTATTCTTTGTTAATTGTAATAGTTCTGCGTATTGAATTTCTTTCCTGCACATTCCGCTGGTTGGGTAATAAGAGGTAATACGATGAAGAAGAAGAATCTGGGAAAGCCAGTCTCCTGAGCTGTCCAGGAGTCCTGCTCTCCTGTCTGGGATGAAACGCTGCATGCTGGCACTCGATGACCCCCCCGTGCCTCTCTCCTCAGGCCCCACTGTCCTGAAGGACGTCACGCCCCACTCCAGGGTGATGCAGGAGGAGATCTTTGGGCCGGTCCTGCCCATCCTGAGCGCGGGCAGCGTGGACGAGGCCATCCGCTTCATCAACGAGCGAGAGAAGCCACTGGCGCTGTACGTCTTCTCCAAGAACAAGAAGGTACCAGTCCCTCTGCGATTAAGCCCTGGCACAGAGGTGTGCCCCTGCCAAGGGGCCTGTTGACCTCAGTTACATACTGTTCTTCAGACCAGGAAGGCTAATGAGAAGAGACGAGATCAGGCCAGCTGATACATGGCTGAAGGAGATCAATCTGAGTCCCTGTGGGCCGTTTAATAGTGTTTCTTTGCACTGACTAGACTTTGTTTTTTACCCAGTTTTAAAAGACATGGGGATGAGCTTGGCATTGTGGGTATTTCTTCATGTGTCGTGCTGGAAAAGGCCCAACCAGCACCCCCCTGTCCAGCTCGCCCAGTCCCACCTACGGGGACGCTGATCTGGAACCCAAACGCTTTTGCGGTTTCTCCAGGGGCTGCCGGCTCACTCCCCCCCCCTCTGTCCCTCTCTTCCAGCTGATCGACCGCGTGATCGCCGAGACGTCCAGCGGCGGGGTCACGGCCAACGATGTGCTGCTGCACTACACAGTGGGCGCGCTGCCCTTCGGGGGCGTGGGTAAGCCTGGCGGGCGAGCGGCGGGGGGGGGGTGGCTGGCGGACTCTCGGGCCTGCAGGGCACCGAACCGTAGCTCTCGGGCCAGGGCGTCTCCGCCTTCCCACAGACCAGCTCTCTAAAACCCAACCTGCCTGCAGGGTATTGAACAGTGGAAGGCCTTTTTATTTCGATTTGACTTGCTTGACTTACATCTTTAAAGCGTTCTCCAACAACGAGGGTTTGGAGGAGCGGCGGCGAACGTTTGAGGGGCACGGGGGGCCCCCCCGGCGTGAGGTCAGCTTGGAGAGAGGAAAGAAACAAGCAGGACACAGGTCCGGGCCTGACCAAACAACAAGAAAGAACGAAAAA